GACTTGTGCAAGGTCCTGCAACTAGCTAAGTAGCAACGCAGAAATGAAAATCTAAACTCAGTGTTATTTCCAAATCCCAAATCAATTTCACCTTCTTAGGAATAAATATCCTATTACAGGATAGGGTATTTTTCCTATAGGACTTAGGCAATATTTTACATGCAAAATTCTGTTCTTTTGTTAATTGATGCACAAATATCAATGCCAAATGTGTGTTTATTTTGATGTTACAGCAGAAATTGTTTTCACTAGCTAGTGACAGAGCTGGAGAGTGAGTTTATTCCCCTCTACGTTTTTATTTTTATCTTATCTTTCATTCCCTTACTGGAAAATAAGGCACATGTCATCTTTAAAAGCTGGCTACAAATGTAGGTCACTGGAAGCAGTACTGAGCCTTTGCATGTTTTTTTTTTTTTTTTGTAGTCTTTTTAAGTTTGCCAAAGAAGCTCAAACAGTGGCTGCCATGGGAGAACTTAGAATTTTAAATAAGCTCTCACAAGTAGTAAAGGAGGAAAAAAAAAGTGAAACCCTGGGGTCAAACAGCAAATTTCCGGCTCAACTAGCACTTCAGAGCTGTAAATGCTGAAAAGTGTATAGATAGCTTGATAATTTTCTGAGCAAATAAAAGGCCGACAAAGAAAAGAAGGGAACATATTCTGATTATAGCTCTACCTTCAAATGGCCTTTCTAATATCTGTACTTACAGTTTGAACAAAAGATACAGCGTAACAAAAACAGTTTTAATAGGAAATACAATAAACATAACTATATCATCTAGAAAATGTAAAACTGTGTTGAAAGACTGCCATTTATAAAGTATTGCACATGCATAAACCTTGAGAAGTTGAACTATAAAAAGGCCAGAAAATAATTTTTAAATTAAACAAGACATTTTGCTTTTGTTCTAAATCATCATAAGATTGTACCTTTGGAGATAAGTCAACTAAAAATGTTCAATAGCATATTTGGTCAGTCAAGAGGTGTTGCTTTTAACTCCATTCTGAGAACTGTCCCAATTTTTGGAAAACTTGGAAAATAAAGGTTGAATCTCAGATATTTTTCTGTTCTGTTTACTCAGAAAGACCAGGCTGGACTAAAACGTAGTAATAGTAGACAACCGAACACTCCCTGGATTCAAACTTCTAATTTTTGTTCTATGGTCAGCGAATAACAGATGGATGACAAACAAAGACTTTTTAATCTTGACGCCATATTGACAGAAGGAAGATACCTTTTAAATAGTAATTCAAATTTTACATTGTTTAGCAAATAATATGGCTTCATTTAATTCTAAACTAATTAATATCTCTGAACTCTATTAAAACCAAAGAATCAAAAAAAAAAAAGTAAAAGATATAAGGTATTATGAATTAGCTCTTAAATGAGCTCAATACTTGGGTAAAAGTCTGGTATTTTGGGATATAAAATTAAAGCTTTCAAATTATTAAGATATCATTTTAATTTTTATTTATGGATCTTAGGGCCCATGAAAAAGAATTCTAAGATGTTAGTCTAAACTTTCAGAAATGGTTTATTATATCACTTCATTAATAAATATCCTGTTGACATATTATTTCATTAAATATGATATGGCTTCTCTGTGATGAACTGTCACTTATTCTGTGACTTATAGCTTGTTATAAACTGACTATTCATTTTTAATTATGCAGGATTTTCTCTGAATTACATATGAAATTTTACTTTAATTGATTTTAAACTTGAACTATTTATTTACTTTTATATTTGATTTTAAAAAAACATATGCTATAAGACTTTACTAATAGTTATAACACACCTACTGGTAATTATGTACTTATTCTCAGCACATATTAAAAATACTTTTAAGCTCCTTTAGAGTTTTCTAGCCTTGTTTTAACTGTGACTGATGGTGGACAGTGCATATTGTATAACAGATTACTAAAAAAAAAAAATAATGAAACAAGTCAAGAATTCATCCTTGGCTCTAGATATTTGATACTTCTTCCTGCATGAATATTACTATTATCTAATTACCTGGTATGTCATCACTAATAAATATTCAAATTAAGTTTAAAAACTGACTTTTATATGTTATGAAATAGCATTTAAATTTGCTTTTGAAAATCATCTTATTTTCTCTAATTCTGTAACTATTAACACATACCATCTTATTATTAAAAATTATTAGAAAGATATAATAGAAAAATCTTAGCATCTTCAAGTTCTAAAGAAATGTTTGTATATATATAATTTTTATTTCATAAAAAAGTCGATCTACTGATAAATATTTTAACATAAAAATGTAATTCTTCCTATTTTAGAAAACATTCTATAGAAAGTTTCAAGGAGAATACTTACCGCCATATTTGAGATGATCAAGAAAACTGCTTTAGATAAAAAACTTAACTGAAAAATACTTACCATATGTGTTTTTAAATGCTTTAACAACATCATGTATATTGTTCCATAGGATCTTCTAAGGGGTGTAATTTTTCAGTGTTACATTTTAATACTGACTTCCTGAAGGAGCTCTGACTACAATAGGCATGAATATGTTTTCAAAGGATGATGGATAAATTGCTGGGTGGTTATATATCTTAGGCAGCTGATAGGGCTTTTTATCCTTTACCCGTCTTTTAGTTATACACAGTTTTAAGATAATTATGGTCTATGAGATTGTCTTTTCCCTTTTTTTGTACCAGAAATATTTGCCTTGGTTATAGGTTCCAGAAATCCCCAATCATACATCATAAAATTAGAACTAAACAATTATACCATTTTATTCCTGCATTGTATCTATAAATATGTTAATGCCTTGGTTTTGGTCATTCATTGGCTTCAAATTTGTTGTTGTCAATAAAATTTTAGTTAGAACTAACAGACCAGATAAATCCTTAAAAATATTTTTTGATGAGAGATACTGTGTGGTATTTTTGTGTATAACTCAAAAAAAGTAAAAAAAAAAAAAAATTTGAGGGACATTCCTACAGCAAAATTCCTTCTATTCCCCTTTACCTAATTCTACACAGTTCACATGTGTAACAATAAAAAATATGATAGAGTTGAGACTGAATCCTGTCTCATTCTAGCAATATATAATATTCGTTAATGGATACATCTTAATGAAGCGATGTAGTTCCAATTTTTTAAAATCTATTGATACATGTATGCTACAATAATACTAATGATGACTGAATTCCGAAGAAATGTATTTAACACTGAGAGTCTTTTGAGACAGGAAGTTTAAATTAATTTTAATTAAATACGAATTTTTGTTACAGAAACCTATTACAAATATTTTAAACATAAAATATATTACATTAGGACAAAACTCTGTTGGGGACTGGAATAGAAAATATGAAATCAAGAATAAAAAGGATTGATGCAAACTTTTCAGCTGTTAAAGAAGAGCTTGCTTATGTATGTACTTCTAAAAAGGATATTGACATTTAATTGCTATGTTATTTAGATTCAGTTAGGTACACTTACAAGAGTGATGCAAAAGTTTTTAAAGAGGCAATACTTACAATAACATCCTTTGCAGCTAAAATTTTTAGAGAACTTAATGTGCAAGTAGTTATATAATTTTACAAAATTTTTTTGGAGTATGAAAGCAAAAAGTTGTGAAGACCACTGTCCTTTACTATCTGGAAAACTAGCCAAGGTATAGGATGTGTGGTGATGATCACTCAGTAGAAGTTAATAAACAAATGTGAAGTACCTTATGATGGTCTTAAAGGTAATATTCAGTTTTCAGTAATATCTTACTATTTTATTATTTCTTTACACTAGTCATATACATTCAACGTTCATTTAAGTGTCTATCCCACTCTTAGAAGCAATAAACCCACCACCAGTTAACTCAAATTCCGACTCGTAGCAACTCTACAAGACAGAGTAGAACTACCCCATGGGGTTTCCAAGGCTGTAAATCTTTTACAGAAGCAGACTGCCACATCTTTTTCCCTTGGAGTGGCTGGTGGGTTCAAACGGCCGACTTTTTGGTTAGCAGCTGAGCACTTACCCGCTGCGCCACCAGGGCTCCCTTATAGGTAATAGGAATATAAAAAGTGAGTTGCCACTGAGTCGATTCTGGCTTATGGTGATTTATACACTTGGGATACTGATAGTATTACTATCAGACATTGTGCAAGCTTTCTCTTTATCTAATTTTTTAGAGTCCTCTTCTTATTATCTTGACTATGTAGAATATCACCTACTGGATATAACAATTTGTACTTACGAATACTTTTGTTTTCTTAGATATGACTGATTTAAAGCAGTAAAAATGCCAAATATTGTAGTGCCTTGGAATCAGTTTACTTCTAAGTTCAGTAGAAATATGACATATTTAAAAGTCTTACCAAATAATTTGCTGATTTTACAGATATTACTTTTGTTTTTCATTCCATTACTTGTTTTAACTCATGTGGTAGTTAGTGATCTCCTATACTTTGATCAAATAGTTTTAAGGTGAATATTAAAATTTCAAATGTCTCTCAAGTAACTCTTAACGGTAACAGTTCAGTTATACCTTATGAGTAGGAAAGAAAGGCTTAGAGTTTGGAAAAATTTCTTGGGCATACTAGCAACTGGAATAAAAATAGGTAAAAATTATATCAAAATGAGAACATGTAATAATTAAATCATATTTTTCCCTTTCTTCAGTAAGTAGTGTAAAATGAAATTTTTTTGCTATTAAACATAACTTTTGTAAAGGTATGGCCCAATAAGTTTATTTTCTGTCAGTCTTTAATAGCTTATTAATGCTTTCCCCATTAATATGAATTTTAAGTTAACAACAATACTAATTTAAAACGAAACTATGTGTTCAAATAAATTTGATACTTTTCATTAACAGAAAAAAAGCATGGTTTGATTAATGCATTTAAAAATAACTTGTATATATATATACAAACATACATGTTGTTTATACATATATAAACTTTTTCATGAAAGGTTCACTGTTACATATAAAGTGAAGTATAATTTCATAGACACTGAATTAGTATATTCTCTACCTGTAAAATGTCAGCAGGGTCTTCTTTAGCAGAGGCGACCAACAAAGTATGCCTGCTGATGATTCCCTCTGCCAGGAAATACTTGAAGAGCAAAGGTGAATAAATATTATATTTATCCTCTTCTGTTAAAAAAACAACAAAAAAAACAGTTATAATCATATCATATACCAAGTATACTCACATGATTTTTATAACCTTTCTCCTTAAAACAAGTATGTGAGGTGGGGCAATAATTATAACTTCATACTGCTCAGCTAGATAGACTAAGTGACTTGTCTACATAGTCAATGGCAAGTAGGCACTTTACAGAGACTGATTCCACAGCTCATTCCTTATCTACTACACCTGATATCCACAAACTTTAGAGCATTATGTATGATTATAATGTCAAGAAATTACAGACTTTTTTGTTTATTTGTTTATTACGATACATGGTATTTTCTCAGGTACTGCATCTCTCAAATGTCCATTATTACCTGCCAGCTGGTAATGTAAACTTGCACTTCATTTCTTTCATGTCACAATAATTAAGCACTTAGGGTAAGTAGCCTGGTAATTAACATTTATAAAATTTGAAGGTCCTGGAAAGTGACAAAAAACAGGCTGCAACCACAGCAGAGTTTCCTTTTGAAAGACAGTGATTATGACATTCAAGAATTTCAAGTTTGTGGCTTTTTTTTGCCTGCGTGTTCCTAATCTCCCTTAGCTCTGAAAGCATTAAATAATATCCTTTCCAGCCTAAGGTGGCAGAATATAGAGCTCAGGGTTGTCAATACAGCTGTAAGTTTACGGGGGGAATCCTGGGAATAAGAGAGCCCCAGAAGGATTGAGACTCAAAATATGATTATAAACTGCCCAAGTCCCTAGCTTACCACTAAATCATGCATGAGCGAGAAGAAGAAACGGGGCAAAAAGACAGAATAGACTGAAGTCAAAAGACATAACTGAATCATATTATATTTGCAAGGCTGCTGCTCCTTTGAAGTTTGCATTTCACAATCTGAGAGCAGCCTGGACTTCAGAAAGTGTCCAAGGACAGAAGTCAGGGCTGAGAACCACAGAAACAGAGCCTAATATCTGAGTATAAATTCTGCCAAATATTTCAGTGTCTACTAAATTAAGTGATTGCAGTGGAGACAGCCATGTGGTCAGAATTTGATCTCAAATAGGCCCAGAAGTTGGATTTAGCATGAGAAGTCTTCAAAGCAGTGATTATAAATGTGTTAAAAAAATTAAAAGAACTCCCAGAGGTCAGCTTTTAGCTAAACAACAGATTGGCTCATAAAATAAAGAATATCACACATGGGTATGTGCTCCTTTAAAAACTCATCTATATAAGACCAAATGGCCAACATTTACTCTAATGCAAAGATGAAGAAGTAAAGGGACAGGGAAGCTAGATTACTGAAAAAGGAATAACCAGAATGGAAGTAATGAGAATGTTGACACATTGTGAAAAATGTAACCAATGTCACTGAACAATTTGTGTAAAAATTGTTAAACGGGAATCTAATTTGCTATGTAAACTTTTACCAAAAACACAATGAAATATTATTTTAAAAAATTAAAAGAAAATGTACTCCAAGTATTAAAGGAAAATATAGTATCAATAATTGAACATAAAGGAAATATCAACAAAGAAATTAAAGTTATAAAAACAAACCAAATGGAAATCTTAGAGCTGAAAAGTGTGATATCTGAACTGAAAAATAAGGAAGAAAAATAAACAGAACAATCTAAAGCAGTCCAATAAATGTTTAACGGGAGTCCTAGACATTTAGACACAGAAAAGAGGGGAAACAATATTTGAAAAAATAATGCCCCTAAATTTCCCACATATGATGAAAAGCATTAAGTTACAGATTCAAGAAGCTCAAGAACATCAACTAGGATAATAAATACGAGGAAAACCAAATCTAGGCACATCCTAATCAAATTATTGAAACCCAAAGAGTAAATCATAGAAGCAGCAAGGGAAAAATGACAAATGACATACATGGGTAAAATGATATCTAATTAAGAGCTGATTTCTCATTAGAAACAATGAAGGTCAGAGATATGAGAATGTCATAATTATAGTGTTGAAAGAAAAACTTGTCAACGAAAGATTACATATGTGCAGAAACTATCATTCAAAAATGGAGGTGATATATTATTTTCAGATAAACAAAAACCCAAAGAATTCATCAATAGCAGAGCTGTACTGCAAAAAACAAGACAGCAAGACATGCTAAAAGCTGAAGGAAAATAACACAACATGGTGATTTGGGTTTACAGGAGGGAATGAAAAACACAGTAATGACAAATATGTGGAAAATTATAAAAGACTGAAAGTATATGTAAGTAGTTATACATACAGATACATATGAGCGTGTATGAACTCTGAATTCTTTTCGTCTTTAAAAAATACAACTGTTCAAAGCAAAACTGGCAGAACTAAGGTAAGAAACAAATTGGGAGATCTTATCATACCTTTATTAGTAATTGGCAGTACAAGCAGAGAGGTAAAGCATTAAGGAAATAGAAAATCTAAACAATCTCATCAAACACCTTAATCCAACTAGTTACATCATATATTCCAGAACATACATTATTTTCTAGTACAACTGACACGTGCACCAAAATAGATCATAAGCTGGTAAAAATAAAATTAAAAAATTCCAAATACATTTCACAAGATTAAAATCATATAGAGTATGTTCTCTAACCACAATGTAATTAAATTAGAACTCAATAAACAATAAGGTATCAAGGAAAAGCACCTGTTTCTAAATAACTACAGATCAAAAATAAATGAAAACAGAAATTAGAGGATATTTTGAACCAAATGATTATAGAAATACAACATACGAAAAGTTTTGGGAAACAGATAAAGCAGAACTTTGAAGAAATTTTACAGCTTTAAATTCTTCATTAGAAAACAAGAAAAGTCTGACATAGATGATCTAAGCTTTCATTTTAAAAATGTAGTAAAATGAGTTCATATAATTTTTAAACAAACTAAATAATGCGAAAGAATCAATAAAAGAAAAATGGATGAGAGAAAGAGAGAAAGAGAAATCAATGACACCAAAAGCTGTTTTTAAAAATCAATAAAGTTGATAAACCTCTAGCTAGACTGAAAAAGAAGAACATGGAGGACTTACTATCTGATTTCAAAACCTACTACAGTAATTAAGGGAATGCAGAATTGGCAAAAAAGTTTAGAAATATATAGAGATCAGTGGAACAGAATAGAGCCCAGAAATAGATCCACATAACTGATTTTTGACAAAGGTGGAGAAATAAAATTCTTCAACAAATGGTTCTGGAATAACTGGGTATCCATATACAAAAAACAAAACAAAACCTTGATCATACCCTATATTACACATAAATTTTAACTTGAAATGGACCACAGACCTATTGGAGTAGATAAAATTTGGAGTAGGTAAAGCTTTCCTAGATAGGACACAAAAGTACTTACCATAAAAGAAAAAATGGATCAATTGGCTATGAAATTTTTTTTAATTTTTCTTTTTAAAAGACAAGCCACAGAGAAAATATTTGAGTGTATATATATCTGACACAGGACTTTTACCTAGTGTACATATTTTAAAAACTATTATAATTCAATAAGAAGACAAAATGCCCAATATAAACATGGGCAAAAGATTGGAACACATTCTTCACAAAACAAGATACATAAAATGGCCAACAGACATATGAAAATATGCTTATCAGTATTAATTATGAAAAAACGCAAATTAAAAACACCTTGAGAAACTGTTACATTTCTACTTGAATGGCTAAAATGAAAATACAATGCCCAGTGGTGGCATAGGTGTGGAGCAAACGAAATGCTCCAACACTGCTGGTGGTAATGCACAATGGTATAGCTACTTTGGAAAACCATTTAGCAGTTTCTGATAATGTTAAAAATACATTTATTGTAACCCACTGCTGTCAAGTCGATTCTGACTCATAGATAGCGATCCTAGATGACACAGTAGAGCTGTTACCAGAAGGTTTCCAAGGCTATATAATCTTTTACAGAAGCAGACTGCCACATCTTTCTTCACCAGAGGAGCTGGTGGGTTTAAACTGCTGACATTTCGATTAGAAGTTGATCACTTAACCACTGTGCCACCAGGGCTCCACACTTACAGGACCCAGCAATTCCACTATGGAGTAATTACCCATGAGACAAAAACGCATGTCCTTACATAGATCTTTACAGAACATTTACGGCAGCTCTTTCTGTAATATCCCCAAATTGGAAATAACACAAATGTCCATGAACTGCTAAATGCATAAACAAAACTGTGGAATATTTATAAATGGAATACTACTCAATGATAAAAAGAAATGAACTACTGATCTATAAGAACTGCAAGAACATGGACGAATATCAAAAACATTATGCTAAGTGAAAAAAACCAGACATAAAAAAATACATATTGTATGATTACCTTTATATGAAATTCTAGAGAAACAAAACTAATCTCTAGTGATAGAAAAATAATTTTAGGCATCTGGAACCAGCAAATTTTGGGCATTAGAAACTTTTTGGGGGTAATTAAAATGTTTTCAATGCTGATTGTGGTGGTGGTTACATAAGTATATACATTTGTAAAAAAAACTCACTGAAATTTAAAATGAGTGCATTTTATAGTATGTAAATTATAATTCGGTAAAGTACAGGATCAGCTAAAATAAAGAAAACCTTCAGTGAGATGGATTGACATAATAGCCACAACAGTGGACTGAAACATAACAATGATCATGATGATGGCATAAAACTGTGTAACATTTAGTTCTGTTATACATAGGGTCACTATGAGTTAGAGCTGACTCAACAACAACTAACAACAAAGTTAGTTTATTAAAACAACTTCCTAATGTGCAACTAAATACCAGGTGGCGACTTGTTTACAGAGTTACAAACGGTTAACATGTTTGGCTGATAACAGAAAGGGCAGAGGTTCAAGTCTACCCAGAAGTGCCTCAGAAGAAAAGCCTGGTGATCTACTTCCAAAAAACCAGCCACTGAAAACTCTGTGGAGCACAGTTTTAGTCTGACACACATGGGGGCACCATGAGTCTGAAATGACCAGACAGCAACTGGTTTGGTTTGGTTTAA